CACATAGATCTCGGTTCTCTTGCGGCTATGATCCTGCTACATCAGAGGCCGGTGATAACGAGGAGGATGCGGGCGTGGATCGGATTGAAGAGGACGCCTGGTATGAGGATGGGTATTGCGATGGCGATGGTAATGGTGAATGGGCAGATGGGGATGGCCCAGGTGATCAAGCCAATTAGTCGCTTTTCTTTTCCTTCTTTTTGTTTTGCTGCAGACTTCTGCGTGTTTTTTGTGGGCGTCTTTTCGAGCCTTTGTAAAAAAAATATTCTAAGTTTGAAATACCAATTTTATTATTTGTTCCTGATTCTCTTTTCTTCTGTTCGAGTTTGTACGTTTTTTGATTTTGTTGCTTGGTTGCCTTGGTTTCCTTAGTCGTAATACCTTAGCTTGAGTAGGGTCAAATGAGGTCGGAACAAAACCTAAGTTTGATCATGGCCAAGGACCAGTAGATGTTAGTTCGAACGAGATCAAACATATCATATGTCTATTTATTATCGAGGGCCATTTAGGTGTTGATTAGATCGAGGTCGAGTATAATCTATGCTTCATTATGTCCGAGGGTTGATTAGGTGTTGATTCGAACGAGGTCGAATATCACCTACGCTTGATTATGGCCGAGGGCCGATTAGGTATTGATTCGAACGAGGTCGAATATCACCTACGCTTGATTATGGCCGAGGGCCGATTAGGTATTGATTCGAACGAGGTCGAATATCACATATGCTTTGATTATGGCGGGGGGCCGATTAGGTGTTGATTTGAACAAGGTCGAATATCACCTATGCTTGATTATGGCCGAGAGTCGATTAGGCATTAACTCGAACGAGGTCAAATATAACTGACACTTAGTTATGGCCAAGGGGCGATTAGGTGTTGATTCGAACGAGGTCGAATATAACCTATGCTTAGTTATGGCCGAGGGTCGATTAGGTGTTGATTCGAATGAGGTCGAATATAACCTATGCTTGGAGAGAATAGAAATAAACTTCATGTATTTGTGCTTTGTTCATACAGGTGGAGAAATTTACATATTTTTCGGGCGTTGGCTGGTATTTCAGTCCCAATCTCAGTCTATCTAGTGCCTTCGTTGGTCGACCATAAAAAGTATTGAGAGGTCGAGCAATGAACTAGCCGTCCAGTGCCTTCGTCTGTGTGCACTTCAATCATGAAGTGTCCCCTTCATCGCCTCGTTAAAAACCTCCTCGAGAAAACCCAATTAAGACAAAACTCAAGTGAGGAAAAAAGGAGTACAACTTTGGGGACGCTTCGTCTTTTAAAAATTGAAGTACTTGAGGTGTGTAATATTCCAGTTGTTTGGTAGTTGCTTTCTTTTCATCGTTTCTAGTCGGAATGACCCTTTGTTGTTGTTGCCGTGATTTTGTACGAGCCGTCCCAAATTGTTCCTAGTTTGCCTTCCCGTGGGTCTTTGCTTGCTTGTGTTTTAGATTTAAGCACGTAGTCCCCGACTTTGAGTGGCCTGATCTTTGCCTTTTTGTTATAATAGTGTTCTGCTTGTTGCTTTTGGGAGACCATTCTTACGTAGGCCATATCTCTTTGTTCCTCGATTTCGTCGAGCTCTTACATTCTGTTATCATCATTCTGGGGTCCTCTTTAGCGGGAGTATCTTAGGTTGGGTTCCCCAACCTTGACCGGTATTACTGCATCAGTCCCATAGACTAACAAATATGGCGTTTCTCCTGTGCTCGTCTTTGGCATTGTTCGGTAGGCCCAGAGTACTTCTGGTAATATTTCCGACCATAGTGCTTTAGTGTCTTCGAGTTTCTTCTTCATAATGTTCAGTATCGACTTGTTGGAGGATTCTGCTTGCCCGTTGCCTGCAGGGTGGTAAGGCGTTGAGATTATTCTTTTGATGTGCCATTTTTCAAAAAAGCCAGCGACCTTTTTTTCCCGCAAATTAGGGTCTGTTGTCGCAGCTGATCTCTTTGGGGAGACCGAAACGGCATATGATATTTTTCCATATGAAGGCGATCACTTCCTGTTCGCATATTTGGGCGAATGCTCCTGCTTCTACCCATTTAGAGAAATAGTGAGTTAAAACCAAAAGAAATCACACGTTACCTCATCCTACCGAGAGGGGGTCCACGATATCCATTCCCTATTTGATGAATGACCAAGGGGAAGTCACTGAGTGTAGGTATTCGCATGCTTGATGAATCATTGGGGCATACTTCTGGCATTGCTCGCATTTTTGCACAAAATATGTGGCCTCTTATTTCATGGTGGGCCAATAATATCCTGCCTGTATGAGTCACCTAACCAAAGTTCGATTGCCGGAGTAGGCTCCACAGTGGCCTTCGTGCACTTCTTCAAGGACGCGCTACGTCTCACTTGGGCCTAAACATTTCGGCCGTAAGTTCTCTTGTACATGTCGTTATGAATGATGTTGTATCTGGTTGCTTGCATTTGCAACTTCTTGGCCTTTTTTATCATCCGGGAGTGTGCCATCCTGCAAATATGCAATAATACGGTTGCGCCAGTCCCAAGTAAGGTTTATGGTTCTTACCTCGATTTGATCTACCGATGAGTTAAGGAGGTGGACCACATTTCTTTCACCAGTTGTAATGTTTTTGGTGGCTGCGACTAATTTGGCGAGACCATCTGCCTTGGTATTCTGTGCTCGAGGGATCTGGTCGAGTTGACATTCGTCAAACTTGGGTAGCAGCTTGCAGATTTCGTTCTGGTACTTTTGTAACCATTGTTCCTTGATTTGGAAAGTCCTTGTGACTTGGTTGACCACGAGTTGAGAATCACAATGTAGTTTTAGTCGTTTCGCCCCATATTTGAGTGCTAGTCTCAATCCTGCAATTACGTCCTCATACTCGGCCTCGTTATTAGTCTTGTCCGGGCATCTTATGGACTGGCAAATCATTTCGCTTGTTGGGACTTCGACTACGAGTCCCAGTCCAGACCCTAACGCGTTAGACGCGCTATCAGTGTACAGGACCCAGAGGTCTTGTGTTGGGGAGAAGCGTGGACGGCTTTTTTTTTGAATTCGGGCATTATTTTTGCACTGAAATCGGCGACAAAGTCTGCAAGGACCTGCGACTTTATCGTCGTTCGTGATCGATATGTGATATTATGCTCGCTCAATTCGATGGCCCAATTGGCCAAACTGCCCGATAGCTCCGGTTTATGCAAGATGCTTCTTAAGTGGAAAGTCGTAACGACCGAGACGGGGTGGCATTGGAATATGGTCTAAGATTTCGTGAAGCTACGACTAAGGCTAGAGCCAGTTTTTGGAGATGGGGTATCTCGTCTCGGCATCGACTATTATTTTTCTAATATAATAGATGGGAGATTGCGTACCTTTATCTTCTCGGACCAAGACTGCGCTCACAACTACTTCTGGCATAGCGAGATAGACGAGGAGGGGCTGTCCCGGTTATGGTTTCGAAAGCAACAGTGGCGATGACATGTACGCCTTTAACTTCTTCAGGGCTTGGATGCACTTGGGGGTCCATTGGAGGTCATTATCCTTTTTTAGTATGCTGAAGAACTTATGGCACCTATCAGAGGATCGCGAAATGAACCTCGAAAGGGCAGTGATATGGCCAGTCAACCTCTGAAACTGTTTTTTGGTGGTCAAGTGCTCTGGTATCCCATCGATGGCTTTGATATGGTCGGGATTGACCTCGATACCTCGCTGTGACACTAGGAAACCCAAATATTTTCCTGAGGCCACACCGAATGCACATTTCTCGGGGTTTAGTTTCATTATGTATTGCTTGAGTATGCTGAATTCTTCTCTCAAGTGGTCGATGTGATCTTCTTTCCTTTTGGATTTGACCAGCATGTCATCTATGTAGACTTTTATCATTTTGCCGAGATGGCCCTTGAACATTTTCCTCACCAACCGTTGATAAGTTGCCCCTGCATTTTTCAGCCCGAAGGGTATGACCCTGTAAAAGTACGCCCCCTGGTGGGTGATGAAGGTGATTTTTTCCTGATCATTTTCCTCCATAAGGATCTGATTATAGCCTGAATAGGCGTCCGAGAAGCTTAGTAGTTCGTTCACGACTGTTTTATCGATGAGTTGGTTGATATGGGGTAATGAAAATGAATCCTTGGGGCAAGCTTTGTTCAGGTCAGTGAAATCTACGCACATCCGCTATTTGCCGTTCTTCTTTTTCACCATGACTACATTGGCGACCCATTGGGGGAACTTCGTCTCCCTGACGGAGCCATTTTCTAACAATTTTTCCACTTTTTCGCGTATTGCGTCATTAATTACTGAGTTGAACTTACGCCTGACCTGCCTCACTGGGGGTGGAATGGGTCAACGTTCAATTTGTGCGTGACAATCTCCTTTGGGATACCTAGCATATCTGCATAGCTAAAGGCAAACAAGTCTACATTAATAGTTAAACATTCACAAAATTTACCTGGTTCCTGAAGTCTGCAGCCGATGTAAGCTTTCTTGTGTGGTCGTTGCTGTCTAACTGAATGGGGCAGCGTTCTTCTATGGTCGATCCTGCGGCCTCGACCATATCGGGGTGTCTGATGACGTCCTCGCCGTCATCGCACATCGACCTCGACCCTGTTAACTTCTATGCCTCATTTTCTTTATCCTTGGTTTGTTGGGTGGCCGTACAATCTAAGGAGATGCAGTATCACTCCTGGGACATGCGTTGTTCCCCTCGTATACTGAATATTCCCCATGTAGTTAGGAATTTGATGACTTGGTACAAGCTGAAGGGGGTGGCTCTTATGGTGTGTATCCATGGTCGCCCTATTATGGCGTTGTATGTTGTGTCTTGGTCCATGATGTGGAATGTGGTTTCCAGAGTGACGCCACCCACTAGGACGGGGAGTGTGATCTTGCTGGATGCCTGCTCAACTGCATTGCTAAAGCCTGTTAGTGTGATGTAGTACGACACTATCTTATTCTTGAGTTTCATTTGTGCAAGTACTCGAGGATGGATAATGCATGCACCGCTCCCATCGTCTACCATAATCAGTCTCACATCAGTATCTAAAATTCATAAAGTGATAACAAGAGCATCATAGTGAGGGAGGTCCAAACCATCAGTATATGACTTATCGAAGACGATACTTTCTTTGAGTTCATCATATCGTTCATGGGTGATCGACCGTTTGAGCTTGTGGGTTGTGGTGAACTTCACGATGTTGATGGAGGCGTCGTCCCCGCCACCGATGATCATGTGGATGATGCGGGCTAACGAGGGCAGTTTTGGCGGCCCTTGATATTGTTCACGTCCTCTGGCAAAGTTAGTCTTTCCCCGATCGCTCAACAACTCTTTGAGGTATCCCTGTCGTAGCATGTTTACGACCTCCTGTCTTAGGGCGATGCACTCTTCAGTTTTGTGTCCTCGCTTTTGATGGAACTCGCAGAGGGCGTCTGATTTTCTGGTATTTGGGTCTGATATCATCTTTTGCGGCCACTTCACCTTTGGTTCGAGCTTCTCCAAGGAGTAGACTATCTCTGTAGGTGACATACAAAAATTATGAGCGGATAATAAATAGGGCATACCTCTCTCGTTCTGGTGAGTCCCTGTTCTTGATTGGGGTAGGCCCTCTTCATGGCGGGAAGAAGATGCAGCGGTGGTTCTAACATATGGGAGATGTCGTTCCCGATTAGCTTGCGAGGCCGCGAGATCTCTTCTAATATAATTTCTTCGATCTTTCCTGGATTCTGGTTGCACCGATGTTAGTCGATGGGTTGGGCCATTGAGGTCGTCCTCGTCAGCTAGGACTCTGGCACAATATGCATTATGTATTTCATCCCAAGTCATTGGGGGGTACTTCATAAGCCGACTTAATAACTTTCTTGTTGCCCTTGAACCATTTCTGCTCAACCCGTTTTGAAAAGCTGCTATCGTATTTCCTTCTGATACATTTGGCAAGGTCATTCTTACTCGGTTAAAACGGGTGAGGAAGTCCCTTCTCCCGGAGACTTTTTAATAGCAAAGATGTCATTCACTCTTGCCTCGGTGGCATGGGCTGTTACGAACTTATCGGCTATTTCCTCGAAGGTTTCAATAGAATGTGCAGGCAGTTGTGAATACCAGGTCAACGTGCCTCCCGTGAGGGTATCGCCTAATTTCTTTAGTAGAATGGAGGATACTTGTTCCTTGGCTAGATCATTGCCTTTCACGGCGGTGAAGTAGTGAGTTATATGATCTTCAGGGTCGGTTGTACCACCGTATATTTTCATATAGGATGGCATTTTAAAGGTCTTTGGTATGGCATGTGGGGCCGCACTGTCACCGTATGGCTGCTCGATGAATCGACCGGCATCTCTCTTCGGCAAGAGCTTCGGAGCGCTCGGTATTTTATCGAATCTTTCTTGGTATTCTCTCATTTGGTCCCGAAGTACCTTGTTCTCATTTTTCATTTCCTCCATCCTTTTTAGAATGGCCGTGAGAGCGTCGTCACTTCCATTGTTAACAACATTGTGAGTAATACCTGTCATTGCAGGAGGAGGAGGAAGTTGATCATGTTGCTAGTCCAATGGTGGTATAACACAAGTTGCATTTGTTGTGGCCGTATCCCGGATGGGCTTATGGAGGACGTCGGTCAACGTATCAGTTAGCCAGGCCTCAAGGGGCTTCTTTATTGTTGGCGGCGCCTCCTCTACCGCAGATATGGAGGTTGTCTTACCAAGAAATTTTGTGATGCTGCAGTAGGGAGGGGGTGACCCACCTCGCCTGGGGAGGCATTGGGCGTTGTGTCCACGTCCACTGCTTCAGAGCTCTCATGGATGATGTTCATGACGTTGGTTGGGAGGTCACTCATTATTCTCGTTCTTTCTTCTCTTTTACCCGTCATATTAGATCTATGTATGCATAGAGAAAAAATGTTCTTGTTCTTGTTTTTTTTTTACGTTAGTGACCAGTGTCAATTGTAGATCTAGAAGAAACTAAAAGAGTTAACTAGATAATCCCCATAGACGACGCCAAATTGTTTGACCAAAAAGTATAATTTTCGGCTAAACTATTAAATTTATTTAATAACGGGTTAAATCTAGTTAATGATAATAACTCTAGATGCGAATCTTGAAAACGTGTGTGAGATGGGACAGATCCAGTAAAGTGTTGACAATAATAAGCACAAAACGTTCATAAAATATCAGCAATAATAAGGTGTAACTAGCAATAAGTAGCAATAAACGGTATTTAAGTAAATAGGAGGAATGATTCACCCAATAAAGGATGGACTGGACGAATGTTCATCCTGACAATGATGAATGAAAGATAAATCCAAGATTTGTCGAATTATTCTCGAATCTGGTGGAAAAATGTAGAATAATATGGGCAAGAATCTTGATAAAAAGGTAGTCTTTCTATCTTTACAAGAGATAAAGAGAGAATCTTTTTCTGAAAAGTGTTCTTATCATGTGAATATTACCTGTCTTTTTCCTTCTCTATCTCCTTATTTATTTGTGACATGTCTCTAACAATTCCTAATAGTACAAGTGCAGAATATATTCACTAGAATATTCTTTTCAATATCCTATTTCAAAAACTAACCGTTGTTGTTCTGTCAACGGTGCTCGACCTCGGCCATTGTTGCCATCTTTACTACGAACCTCGTTGTTCCCTGACTGACCTCGAATGATTCTTTCTTTAATGCTGCATTATCTTAAATATTTTAGGGCAGGTTTTGACCTATACACCTCCCACCGGTATAAGTACGATGATTCTACTCACTACGGTTTAGGAAGATAGAAAGAAATCACATATAAATATATCTTTTTTATATTGGGTATTCCATGGTTTTCATCTAATTTCATTGATCACTAAGTCATATTGTTGACGTTGTGATTAACAGTATGTGATCGCAGAGCGAGGCCTCATCAACCTAGTTAACCTGTCACATAATTTGTCCAACAGTATTCCAATCATTTGTTATTTATTAATCCTTTTAGTAATGAGGTGGGTATGACATAGTTTAGTATCATGCCACGGGTAAATACAACCACCATCCTCTTTCATCATATATCTTCTTACATCCGTTTCTACATTTCTGTCTGCAAGTACACGTCTATCTGAGGTTGTCTTAGCTGGCGAAGTGGAAATTTTCAATACCAGGAGACAACACCTATACGATAATATATCAAATCATGTTGGTTATAATTGAGATTAAAGAATGAAGCATATTTTTTAATTCTGCACGAATGGATGGTTGGACTTGTGTGATTGTGATATAATTAACTCAGGAAATCATGGAAGAACAGATCCCTCTAAATGGACTTTGTCTCATCGTGGTAAATTAACAACTTAATAAAAAAAGTATGATGTTTTTAACTAGGTCTACTTATTGTTTAAAGGCTTATTAGAGCAGCTTGTGTACTCGATAGGTAAGCATTTCAAGGATTTGAGGTCTAAATAGACCAAGAATCTCGAGATTTCTATAATCAATGAAGTGATTCAGTGGTTAAGAAGATAGTAACGAATATTGGAAAATCCAAAAAAAACAAAAAAACAGAAGGATAGTGACGAATATAAGTTTAGTTAGGTGTGCCCGAGTGGCTTGATGCATTGATGTTTCCTCCATGTTTTCTACCAAGAGAACCTAGAAATTATTTCTTATAATACAGCTAATTTCCTAATTTTTTAGTTTGGAAATCCTACTGCAAACGTAATCTTTCAATTTATCTAGATCCTACTGAATCGGAATCGTGAGAGATTCTCACGTGAAATGATCTCTAGTTGTTTGGTTTATCAATAAAAAGTATTTCTTTTATATTTCTTTTCTATCAATATTTATTTATGAGAATAAAGCTACTCTCAGCGCTATTCGCTTCTACCAATGGACAATGGACAATGGCCATGAAGTGCAAATTAGGTTCAGAAATTATCTCAAAGAAACGAAGTATAGGATGCCACCAACTCATTATTGTCAATTTCAATGGTTGAATAACAACTGGCTGCACGCCAACGAGACTCCGTTTCAATGAACGGTAACATAGAATCTGTCTAATTAACAGAAATAATCTTTTTACCGGACTACTACAATACTAATGACAGCTTAATGTTACTTGTTCTATTTTGTAAATCCTACTGGCTTACTGCCGCATTGACTATCAATTTTATTGTTCAATTGGACTTCACAAGATGTCCAACCTTTCCTTTTTACCCAAGGGAAAAGCTACTAAAAGTACGTTACATATTACAGTGGCTCTGACTTGGATCCTTACCTTGGCATCGCAAAACATCAAAGTCAAGCATACTAGTTCCTTTTTCTTTCTGCAGTTAGTGAAGCAAAATCAACAGGAGATACCTTGAAATCCCCTTTGGAACCTGCAAATTTGTGTCTTGTTTTGTGTTTTATACTGAACATACACGTGGAAATTGGAATGTAAGAAGCTTCAGATGTAAGTTACCCGAGAGAAGAACTCAGCATTATACCATCAGGAATATCCATGAGATCATTTCTGCCATACCGCTTTTCTTGCAATAAGATTAAGGGCATTGGAATTTCTTAAGGTACCTTTAATATTAGGTTTATTTCATTTCCTTATTTCAGCTGATAGTTTTGAAAGAAAATTATGTATTTGAAACATCTCTGCTATATATTTGTACGGAACCAAAAAGTAACTAGTTCATTCAAGGAAGAATTTTGTGGAGTAAACCATAGTATGTTTATGTTTATCGTGTTTAATTGAAATTAAAAAGAAAGACGAGCGAAAGAGAGACACAGTTTGCAAGTATAGGTATCGGTATATCTGTTTAAGTGTAATTACAAAATTGTTCCTTTACAGCAAGATTCCATAAGCATATATATCCTACAATATTCGGATGCCTATGCAATAATACAAGACTATATTCATTGGCAAGAGACAACATTCAGGAGTGTACTCCTTGATCTGATCAAGCATCTAAATATGTTGTCCAGGCCATCCTCGATGCATTCAAAATGAGTTTCCAGATTTTCCAATCTGTTCTGTGCAAACTGGATTTTCTCCACTTCACTTGAGCCACACTTTAAAAGGCTGTTTAATGCAAAATCAGCACTTTCTATCTCATTTACATTGTCTTGATCTCCCTTGTTTACCAATCTTGAAACCAGAGACCATTTGTTAATTGGCTTAGAAACTGGAGCTGACAAGAAAACCAACACCATTTGGAATACTGAAATTCCCATTGTACTAACTTCTCTTAGCACTCTGATAACGGCTGAGACAAGTTGATCAACCTCCATTACTTCAACCACCTCATGATCCATTTTCTTTAAAATTGTAACTAAGATTTAGCATCTTTTTTCATCTTCTTTCTAAACGAAGTGTAGTTGGTGATGCTCAAGTCTCCTTTTCTCCTCCTCAGTAAGGACTGAACATCCTTAACAATTTCTTTAAACTGTGACACCAGCTCCCTTGTTGTCTCACATATATCAAGAAATCTCATAAATTTATCCAAGATTTCATCGACCCATTTTTTATCTTGGCATTTGGAAAGGGCTTGAAGAGTCTGGGGCAAGTTGAGAAGATCACTAATGTACCTATGCACCTCTCTCAAACCAAGTAAACCATTGTAAACAGCTTCTGCAGTTGATGAGGCTGAATTTTCCCAAGTCTGGAACTTGCTGAACTCCTCTTCAATTTTCTCAGTTGCTGGATGTGATCTGCTTGGCAAACTGATGGATCTGTTATTTGCAGAATAACTTGCCATCTTTTTCCTCTGTTTTATTTTTCCTTTTACTTGGTGTATATTGGAAGTTTGGGATGATCAAAGAGCTTCAAAACTCATCTTATTTATACCAAAATTCTACAGAAAGCGACAAGATGCAGGATAATATGCTAAGATAGCGTTGAGATTGCCATGTGACGAGAGAGTGGGCATTTCCCTAAGAGTTCGGTGAGATTGTTGCGCTTCAAAACGAAACTTTAATCATTTTTGATATTTTAGTGTTCTTGTCTTCGAAAGTTGCCACTTTGCGTTACCTTATTGCTTGTTAGTGATGAAAGATGTCTCAGCAAATACGTGGCTTGTTACTATTGTCTTTGTTGGAGGAGCCATAGTTTGTCAATTGTAACAGCAAAGCGCCATTATTAAATTGAGATGAAGATCTTTTAATGGAGATTTTTTGGTACCTCATAGAAACACTACTAAAAATTCGCTAAAAACCGACCAAAAATACCGACCAACGCTGGTCGGTTATGGCAAATTACCGACCAAAACGCGACCATTACGGTGTGGACGGTGTTTTGATGGTCGGAATGGCTTACCGACCAAAGTTGGTCGGAAATTACCGACCAACTTTGGTCGGTATATTAAAATGACCATCTGACAAGTTTAATTACTTACCGACCAACTTTGGTCGGAAACATATTTTATTAATTTAATTTTACCGACCAAAGTTTGTCGGTTTAACTAAACTATATTTTTTTTATTAATTATTAAAATTAAAAAAAATCGACCAACTTTGGTCGGTAATTGAAAATATATATTTTTTAAAACTAATTAAAATTAAACATTACCGACCAACTATGGTCGGTAATCTCAACAATGCAAGCAAAATACCGACCAAAGTTGGACAGCAGTGTTGAATTCTGGGAATTCAATGTTCATTAACCGACCAACTTTGGTGGGTATTTTGGAATAATTTATTTTTTTTATTAATAAACCGACCAACGTTGGTCGGTTTTTTTGGGATTAATTTTGGCATAAAATGCCTGTTTTGGCAGCTAAACCACCTGCCAGCATACCAATACAACAACACAACAACAACAACAACAACACAACAACAACAACAACAACAACAACAACAAAAACACAATAACAACAACACAACAACAACAACAACAACATAACAACAACAACCAAAACATTCAATAAATACTTTAAAACTAACAAATTAAAGTTCAATTGAACCCAAAAATCCAAAACCAAGTTAAAACTAATTACAACTAGTTCATAACTGGTTCTATTTGTCTAGT